GTAGACCCTTTATGATAGCCTCTCGAAAACTAAGAAGGTTCATTTTTGATTTGGTAATTTCCCGACAAAAAAGGAAACTGTTAACAACAGTAACATCTATCAGATGAAACATCACCTTCTTGTACCAGCGAATTAATTTTCATGGACAGCTGTAATAAGAGGTCAGCTGGTCACTTCTGTCGACCCCTGCCATATTTTAGTTGTATTCAGAGACTTCTTTTGGTTTAATTTTAGTTTGGTTATAAGAATTGGTTGTCTGAATAATTTCTGGTTGAAATTTGGAGGTAATCATCAGTACCTCCTGCTTATCTTTCCATTTGGACACATACACTTTCTCCTTTCGCAACCATTTATGGTCACCTCTCTGGAGTTTTTTAGTGGTAATTTCTTTAGGATTTCCTCTGCGATTTGACCTAAGGGTTCCTGTTGTATGAGTTTTCCGATCAAGTAATTTGTTTGCTAGAGGAACGCTGTTATAATAGTTTTCCATAATAGCATGATGTCCCTTGTCTAAGAAAGATGATAGAAGCGTGAACACGAGAGTCTGTAACTTTGTCCTATTTGCTTCTTCTGCTTATTTACCTTTATAGATGTCGATGTTGCAAGTATAACCTTTTGTTGTGCATAGCTCGTAAAACTTAATCGCATATTTTGCTTTTTTTCCCTTTATGTATTGACTAAAGCTCAGCCTCCCTCTATGTATCAATATTGACTCATCTTCTTCGGGAGTGTAAGCACTCTGATAGTTAATAAGCAAAATCTTCAATAATTCACTTATTTTATTGAGTCTATCAGTTGAAATATCTAAGCAGCTATTCATATCGGCGTCCCGACATAATATAGGAAAACACAGGATGGTAGTATAATGGATCATATGAGAAAAGTTTTCGCAGAATTGGGAATCGAATCTGTCCTTGTAATAGAGAAATTCCAATAAATTTGTAAAGTTCCTCTTTGGTAGTTAGAACGAAGCTAGTTGTTCTGGAATGTTTAGGTTTGGGGCGATTTGATGTTTCGAGTTTCTGACCATATTCATTCGTACAATTTACGATCAGATCCATTACGTCGTCAGTCCAAAGCGACTTTAAAACTTCTAGAGGTAGAGGTTCATGGTCAAAATGTAATTTTACCCCTGAAGCAGCATGATCAAACTGGAAGTCTGGTATATCTTCATAAGTCTCTTTCCAATCATCACTTTCATCAGAACTAGAACCTTCTACATCTGTTACATTAGTTTGATTTACGACAGGATTTACGGCAGTTGGTGGAGTTGGATTGAGGTAAGGCTCGTCAGGTGAATCAGAACTATCATTTGTCGGAGAATAATCCAAGTCTTAATTATCTGATCCAGCATATGGATCGTCATCGCTAGCACTCTCGATTTCGTTTTCATCATTGTTGTCTTCTGTTTAAGTGTCAACTTCATCATAAAGCCTTAGTAATCTGGCTTCCTCTTTGGGGTTCATTTTTTTAGAGTCTGGAAGAATGATTACTTTACACTGAAAATACGTGAAGTTCTTGAAAACAATAAATAACTAAACAGCTAAATGTACTTACTGCTGCAGCCAAAAATAATAATTCTACGAAGGATCTTCAAACGTACTCAAAACGTATGGAATTATTTATAATCACAACAAATAACCTCACTGTACAAACGTTATGGGGCGACTTACTGCTTCCGCAGACGTGACACGACAAGTGTCAACGTAAGTAGGAGTAACACAGTGGTCTGAAGGTCAAATTAAATGCCTTCATGGGACACTTCCCTGTTAACAAACTTAATGTATAGGGACACTCGCCTACGCCTTTTATGTATTCCTTATGGACATTGCGATTGCTATATCAGACGCGGCATTTTCAGTGGTCTAGTAATCGTCTGCTATCGCAGTCCTGTCCCTACACATGTGTCTGCAATTGCAGACACGTCCGTCAATGTGTTAAGTGATATTTCTTTGAATTTTATGTTATTTTTAAGTAATATGGCAACTCCCGTGGTGCCATCAATTCTATCTTGACGTACTAATGAATAGCCAGGAAAAATGTAAAAAGTGTTAGTTTTAAACCATGTTTCGGATAATAGGGCAATATCAATTTCTAATTCTGATAAGTTTTTTTTTTTAACTATTTTTATTAACCATAACGGAACGTGCATTCCACTGAAGAATATTTAGTTCATTAGTATTTATCAGGTTCATTATCGTCCATAAGTTCGGTATGAGTAAACGCAATTTTTTTTATGTGATTAATGTTTAAGGAAGCAAGCTCGTCAAAAGTTTTTACCGCACTGATAACCTTCTGAAAATTGTAAAAAAATCATGTATGAAATTCTCTTGTTTTTCTAAACCTAAACCGTCTTCTCTAGGTGGCAAAGATATGGGGTTTTCAGGGACAAATCGGTATGGGAACATCGGGGGTTCATTTATATTTATAATTGGTGATGTAGCTTTTAGTTTTTTATTTGCACTATCAATTTGCGTTGAAGCTTGTATATTTTTTGTATTATTTATGGTTTTTGAAGTCCGATTAGACTTAATCGGTTGTTAAAAATGTTGACTGGTTTTTAAGCGGACTGATGTGGGTGTTCTAATAGCGGAGAATTCTTGATAATTAAAAGGAGATAGGGCCCGAAATATGTTGTTAGATTTAATTATATTTGCACATGAGTTAGTGTTTCAAAAAATTTTCTTCTGCCATTTTTTTTTCAATTTCTTGTTATTTAATATGTGCCGGACACTATTTGGAAATAGATTTATGGATATTTGTTTTACAATAAATGCAACAATTGTCCTGGGGATCACGGCACACATGCAATTCATTCTTATTTTTAACCGACTTCAAAAAAGGAGGAGGTTATCAATTCGTCGCGTTTTTTTTTTGTTTATATGTATGTTCAGCGATAATTCTTTAACACGGTGTCCGATTTCAATAATTCTTTTTTTGTTAGAAAGGGGCTACTTTAGGGGTGGTCCCATATAAATTTGGTTAAAATCTAATAATTGGGGCAATGAGAAAATTCTCAAACTCTTAATTTTTTATTTATGTTTAGCGATAATGCTTTACCACCTTGTCCGATTTATATGATTCTTATTTTGTTAGTAAGGGGGTACTTCAGGGGTGGCCCCATATAAATTTGTTTAAGATGTGGTGATTGCATCTGCATGTTTTTGAAGTCGGTTTTTTTAATTTGTAATTTCTAATACTTGTTACCAAAATTTATACACAAAATATTCGAGCTGCGACATTGTTTGGCTACATGTCCATATTTAAGGCATTAAAAGCATTGGGTTACTCTATGTACATATGGTTCAATACGGCAGACTACAGAGTTAATATAAATTACAGACAATAGCATATTCCCTTCGAAAGTAACAATGATTGATTGTCTAGGTACAAGAATTGTTTCACCGTTATTTATTATTTTTCTCTTGATTCTGTAAACATCCGTTATGGTGACAGGAGACATAAAGTTGCTAAACAGATATTGTTCACCAAACATAGTATCAACCTCTTTAATAACCTCCTTTCTAGATAATAAATTATTAGGAATGTATGCTTTTAAATTTTCTTTTAAAAGATCCTGATTGGTGGGTAATTTGTTAGCATCAGAAATGCTTCTAAGTTGAACTGGAATTCTATTTCTACCAACTGTATAAATTTTTAGAATATTTTTAATATTTAATTTTCGATGCAAAATGTGACCTATGGCCATGGGATGTAGTTTCCCAATATTTTGGTCGTTGACCTTTTCAATAAACACGTATATTATTTCTGAATAAAGATTGGGTTTTTGTAAATTGAACACCTTACTTGTTTGCTGGATACAATCGTTTACTACTTTTTCACTTTCTGCCTTATCATGTTCTCGGCTGATGGAACTGGCATTTTCTGTGTGTTGGTTTGGATTTTGTAAACGGTCTGTAATATTGTTCGTCCCCCCTGCCTCGGGGGGAGGATCACCTCCCATCTTCGCCTAGTCACTTGCACTTTTTAACTCGTAGGCAAGTACACAAACTTATTAATAACTATGGATAGTCACAATTAATTCTATTACACTGCACTATCTATCCGATAAGTAAATTAACGTCTTTACTATACGGAATCTACCGGTGAAATCTAGTGGTGGTTTGACATAGAAATATCATCAGACACTTGCCAATTTAGAATTGATTTATAGACAGCAGTTGTGGATAAAGTAATATCTATTAGTAATATCTGTTAGTGTTTGACTGCAAGAGTTTAAGCGGGTGGATAAAATTATAGGAATAGGAATAGGAAATCTGTAGACGTGATTAATCTGCACGATTTTGACCTGAGAGGCTGTATATGCCTAGACAACCCTTAACGACAACTAGCAGGTTTTTGATGAGTCAATAAGTTACAATATTTTGACGAGAAGGCACCCCTCAGCGTAAGCCAGCAGATTTTTAACGCGTTAATAACCTGCGGGACTTTGATGAGCTGGGCAGATAGGTTCATCTCAGCAGCAACCAGTAGATTTTGACAAGTTAGGAAGCAGGTTCTATATGCCTTAAAGGATGCAAAATGTACCTTATGAGGCCTATGTGCTTTGGAGCAATCCACTCTCTCCACCTTATATATACAGATGTCTAGCCTATTTGATTTATTTTATTTTAATATATTTTGGTTTGTTTATTGTATTAAACACGTATTGGTATAAAAAAAATGTGGTAAGTAGGTAATCAATTTAATTTCTATACAGACACTGATTTTGTGGAAAAACATTTTGAAACCATACAACTTATTAAAAATGTTAACCTTTATAAACAAACAATACCCTGTATTTTCTTATCGCCTAATTATTATGTAAATTTATTGTTTCTTTAATAAAATTATGAAAATCAAACACGGTGTTTCTTTGATATTTAAAATTCTACTATTGGTTTTTTCACCTTATCAAACTGTCATAAATTTTAATTATCCTATTTTTTTAGTATATATGTGGCGCGTAAACCAACTGAAAAGTATTAAGTTTTAAGTAATAAATATGGCACATTTGGCTGTTTTGTTTTTGGTGACAATTGTTTACTCAACAGTCCATTGTCAAACTGATTATTGTAAATTACCTTGCGATACCGTAGTGCATACTATTTGTCAAAGAAAAGACTTTGTGAGTATTTTTTACTTTTGCTTAATAGGGAAAGGTTGGCACCCTTCGTACAGTTTTTGTTATCATCTATGCCGACTTAAGATAAATCATATACTTTTTTTTATAATTCAATTTATGGTACATACATTTAACTTTGTAAAATTGACAAAAAAAGTTGATAAAACACAATACAATTTCTTCGAGGTAATTTAAAAAAAAAGTGGGGGAATGTATGAATGTACCCCTTTAATGGGGGGCTTTTGTACATTATACGGGGTACCTTAGTACACTATGGGGTAGATTCGTATACATGTTTCAAGAACAAAATCTTTACAAAAAAAATATTATTAATAAAAATATATATACAGGGTAGCCTATAGTGCTTAAACGGTTCAACATACAAAACTCAAAATTTTTGAATTTGAACTAAATATATTTGCGCCTATTTTAGCCCAAAAAATATTTTTTTTATAATTACAAAATTTTAAGCATGGCCGCCATCTTGATTTTTTTAAGTAGCAATATAGGTCATGTGATATACCATTTGCAAGGGTTTAACACCCTGATTACAAAAATGTATCACACATGGGGTCTAAATACAACAGAAAAGATATTATTAATAGGGAACGTAGGAGCTGTGCATTTGACACAAGATGTCAAGTACATACATTTTTGTGATCAAGGTGTTAAATCCTTTCAAATGGTATATCACATGACCTATGTTGCTATTTAAAAAATCAATATGGCGGCCATGCTTAAAATTTTGTAATTATAAAAAAAAAATATTTTTGGGCTAAAATATGCGCAAATATATTTAGTTAAAATTCTGAAATTTTGGGTTTTGTATGTAGAACCGTTTAAGCACTATAGGTTTGGTTCCATCTTTAACAGCTACCCTGTATAATGAATATAACAAAGAAAACATATTGCACTTCTATAAAACTTAAATTTACATTCCAATAAAATTAGTATTTATTAAACATTAAATGAGGTTAAATCTACCAAAAAATTGAAAAGATTAGAGGCTCTTACAGTAGTAGATGAAATTGGATCTGGTAGTATTAATGCAATATCCGCAGTGTCAACCATTCCTTCGTCCGTTACAGTTGGAAAAACAAATGTCCATGAAGATGATTTTTTTCTTAAGAATAAAACTTTGTAGTCTGTCTCACTGAAGTGACTTTAAACGTGTCCTACATAATATAAAACATTTTTCTTTTTTTCGAATTTCACTAAAATGAATTTTGAATCACTTAAATTTTCTGGAACTTATTCAATCCTTACTTCTATTTTTATCTCATAAAGAACATCCACACTTGATGTGGAACTCTCTCGCAAACTAATACTGACATCGGAATCGCTACACTCAGAGACAGTTTTTGTTTTTTTATGACTCAGTTTTGATGTTTCAATGTCTGTGTCATTTAAAAAAGATAAGGCGTGTTTTTTTCTTTAGCTTTAAATCTCCTTTTTCTCTCCATTTTCTTTGTTATTTTAAGTCTGTCTTTTTCAGGTGTGTCTGTGTATATGCGAGACTTTCCCGGCTGCCTTTCCTTCTTTGTTTGAATCTTCTTTTGATTTTAGGATATGGACGAACCATTTCTGGAGTTAATAACTTAGAGGTAGATGCTTTGGCTAGTTGTTATTTCTATTAATTAAAGTGTTGGCTCCTTTAAGGTTTCTAGGCAATTTATTGGTGTTTGAGGGACATCTTGAATGAAAATATCAGTGGATTGATCCACAGTGAGAGAAATATCTTTGGTATCTGAAGTAGATTCAGCAGACCGATAGACTTAAACTGGGGCAAATTCCTCATCACTGAACGCCAGTATATTAAATGGCTAGATCCCAGGCTTACTAAATCCACTCAAGATATTTTTAGCTGTGAATGATACAAAATAAGCTATTTTCGCTAGTTTTTGAATATTGTATATATTAAACGTTTTACCAGGATTATTTACATACCAACCGTTAAACGCGGTTTTTAATTTTGAATTAAATTGACCAAATACACCTACGGCCAAAGGTTGCAAACGGTGGGATGTGTTTACTTCGTTTTCACGGGCATAGTTGATAGCTGAAAATGAAACGTGAGTTTCGTGGTTGTCACAAAGTAACAAAATAGGGGTTTTTGTATATGAACTTGTAAATTTTTGTAGATCTCTCAGAACTTCTACAAATATATTAGAATTAATCCAGCCACTTTTATTAGCCACTCCCATACTGCCCTAAGGAGCTCCTTCCATACTGGCTTCTGGAGCGCCCTTAAAATGAACGCGAGGAATCACAAATAGGGACCGTGCGTGAAATATAGAGGCAGCACTACTGCCGAACTTAGCCCTCTCTAGTGTTTAATTTTAGAATTAAATGGGGTAAACACTGCAAGTAAATATTGAAGGGTATTTTTTTAAATATTAAATATAGTTAAAAATAGATACCGGCCCGTACCAAACAATCGTGTACATGGTCAAAATGACGTAAAATGTGAAACATTATTAAAATCTGGACATGCATATACATTTTAAGCAAAAAGATTTAAATGGCTAAGTGACAATAAATTGTAAAGTTGTACCTTAAACAAGTGTATCCAATGTTAAAATATAGGTATTTAGTAACACTGAATTTAAAAGTATTACAATAACATTTAAAAAATGTAAATTAATAAAAAAGATTGATAATAATAATTATAAATCTTTTTAGCTTTATGTTAATCGAAATGTCATTCATCCACTGGCGTTTATGAGATGTTCAATGATACATATATTATAGATTGCTCACCCAACTATAAAAAAATTATGAAAAGCTGGTTGCAATGTGCCTTTCCTAGTGCTCACTAAATAGAGCCGTTCTAGCCCAAATGTGTTAAAATAAAATTTCAGCATTTTAATCTTTAGAAAAAGATAATAATTAAAGTTTTACTTCAAGACATGTCATTATGTATTTGGAAAGTTGAGTTTTCATGTAGTTAAATAATATTAAGAGATCTAAACAATTTTTATAACAGATGGATATAAATAATTTTAGACTACTATTTCAGAAACAATTCTACATAAAATACATAATTGCAATATGTAATACAATTTTGAAAAGGTAATGTAAACAATTTTGATATGAGGTATGAACAACTTTGGTAAGAGTTGTAATTGGACACTTATCTATTATTCTGAATAATGTTTAATGGTAATGTCACTAAAAAAATTTACAAAAAATCACTGGATTTTTAATATTTTAAAGTTTGTTACAATCTCTTTTGACAGTAACTGCAATGTATTATTTATGATTTGTTTATTTTAATAATAAATGAGAAATAGTTAATAAATTGTAAAGAGGGCCGTGATATTTTTGTCAAATTGGATATTCTTATTTTATAACATTCTACATTAGTTTTAATCAACAGAATAAACCATTATCTGTAAAATTATATTTATATAAAATGGTCATTTAAATATGTAAAAATCTTAATGACAAGAAAACACTAAAGATTCTAATTTTTCTGTAAATGATTTCTTTACAACTAAGTGCTCAAAATTGATACAAGCTAGATAAAAAGAAAACTTTGCCCAGTGAAATACGCTTTTCGTCGTCTGATTTACATATGGATAAGCAATCTTTGTAATTATGTATATCATTGGGTGTGAGGCATAATTGTGCTCTGTGGAAATTTATAAAATTTCTTTACTATCGAATGAAATCCAGGTTTCTAAAGTGATGTGTTTGTACATCCACGGATGCAACAAGTTTTTCCGATATTGATATTACGAAAATAATTCGACTTCATTTTATTAATAATTATTAAACAATAAATGCCGTATATAACATTAATAAATACCCCCCAAAAAGTTCACATTTTTGTCACCAGTTAGCGTTAAAGTCATGACGCACGGTCCCTATAGAGGAGGGATTGTGTTTCCACTTGCTGATATGATAGCTCCAAATATAAGATGTTCACCTCTCTCAGCAGAAACTAATTGGCCCACTTGTTTTTGCGTTTTCTCTGCCAAAATTTTAGGTGTATTTAGTAAGGTCGATATTCCGGACTCATTAAAATTAAAAATCCTATTTGAAGAAAATATATATCTATTGTAAAGTGATTCTAGATTTTTGTAGAATTCCTTTACAGCTTTTTTATTAAAACCAAAGGACCTGACAGCACTCGTGTTCTCTGTCTTTCTTAAACTTCATGGAGTGTCAAATCATCGAAAGTACAAAAGGTAAAAATATATTATTGGAATCTGGCTATAAATACTACTATTAAAGAGAACAAAAATTCGACGACTTTTTGGATCTGCAGTAATAAAAAAACCTGTTCTGGTAATGTAACTACTTCGTCAAAAAACGAAGTCATGCGCCAAACTATACATCAATGTGTCTCCAATATTGCCGTCTATGATATAAATGTCTGTCTAAAAAGATGTCAAGAGAAGAATTAGTGCCAGTTACACAAATTTTCGAACAAGAAATGGGATTCTGGATTGGAGTTTGTTAGCAACCTTTCTGTATTTTCCAATGTAAAATCTTTGCTGTATACCGCAAGAAATAAGGCAGTGGGTGCTATGACATTCAAAAATAGGGAGGATATTTCTGTTCCTGAGCAACTGTCGAAAGAATTTTTGCTCATAAACGATGGTCGCATGGACAAAATTTTGGTATTCGCTTCCCCCGCTGCCCAACAAACTATGATGGAGTGTTCTGATTTCTTTGGAGATGGTACTTTTAAAATCTGCAGCCCACAATTTCACCAACTGTACAAAATTCATGCAGATATCGGCAACACGTCAATGGAAAGCAATATCATTCCTGTTGCTTTTGCATTGTTTTCAGATAAAACCCATCAAAATCTACAAACGGTTGTTTTAATTAATTCAACAAAAAATTCCAAACTGGGTACCAAAAAATTTCAAAATCGACTTCGAATTAGCAGCAATTCTGACACTACGATCATGCTTTCCCAATAAAAAACTCAAATTTATAAAACTTCAAAAATAAATAATTATATAATTACTTATTGCTTTGTAATTAATATTTGAAAACAATAAATAATATAACTATATTTTTTTTTGTACCAAAATATTGATCTTTCCTCGTTTCCGTATCCATATAGAAATGATTCTACGCTAAGAACTCCGTGAGTAGCAAATAACAAATTCAACGGATCGATAATTCATTTTGGTGAGTAGATTATTTTACCAAATATTTGACTACAGGCACTACTGGTTAGGCAGTCTCGCAGTACAGAATTCGACCGCAAATCGTTTGGAGACTGTTATTAAAGCAGTAGGATAAATAGTTTCTGAAATAAGAATTCCTAATCACGTAACCAAATATTGTTCATCAACTTGAAACGTTTTATTAGTTAGTAAGGTAATAGTCGTACTAATACATACAATGTAGCTTTACTTAAGCACCACCAACTGTTATATCGATTTTACTTAAAACGACATTTTGGACATACAGCTTTTTTCCTCTTAGCCGTCGATATTTTGATTAAATGACATAATTATATTGTAAACATTTTCTTAAATATTAAACTTCCTTTTTAGAATTGCGGTGGAGCTCCAGCTTGTGGTGCAAATTTCAAAGCAATTTCGTTAACAAATGAAGATAAACAATTTATTTTGAATGTACACAACGAATTACGTAAAAGAGTTGCAACGGGCAAAGAAACTATTCGTAACCAGCCATCATCTTCAAATATGAAAGCATTGGTAAGTTTTCAATTTAAAATTTACCAAATTGCCAGTATTACTTTTGAAAAGATGCCCCTCTTTAGATATTTTATGTAAGGCTTCTTAATATTTATGTTCTACTAATTAAGTGCCGATATGTTGTAAACCTCTTTTTGAGCTACAGTGTGTTACAGTTTTAGGAAAAAAAAAATTTTTTTATCATAATTTTTTTATCATCACTCCAGATATTTTTATGAAATGATGTACAAACCTTTTAATAATTAAGGAGCATTTTTTGACGTAAAAGACTTTTTAAATAATTTTTCGTGGACGTAAATTGTAAGGAATGTCATCTTATTCTGTTTCTACATTATTGTTTACGTCATTTTAATTATCATTTTCTTTTTTATCCTATATCATTTTCATCTTGATCATCATCTTCATTAAAAGGAATATGTACAATTGTAGATACTGAAGCTGGATTCTTATTAAAAATCTCATTTCAAGAAATTATTACTTTTCTAGTGATAGTACTCGTATCAAAAATTCTTTAATTTTCGGAATCCTTATCATACCCAACCAGAATAAGCTTCTTTGCTTTGGGATCTAGCTTGGTTTCTTTTGAATCTAGAATGTGAATATAATATATGCGTCACTCCCAAAGTATCTAACATAGTCAAGTGAGGGCTTTTTAACATGCCAGAGTTCAAAAGGTATAGAATTTGAAGTTTTAAGAGTTTTACGATTTAAAATATAAACGGTAGTATTGACTGTCTCTGTCCATAGGTATTTAGGAACACCTGCACTGTAGATCATTGATCTGGCACTTTCAACTATGATCCGATGTTCCTTTCGATTTTCCCATTTTGCTGTAGGGTGTAGGGTGCCGTTGTTTCTAGTTCAATACCTTCTTTATTTAAAATTTGTTTAAAATATTGATTGCAATACTTTGTGCCATTATCTACATGAAAATATTTAATCAGTTTCCCGAACCTATTTTTAATTTTTTGGCAATATTCTATAAAACATTTTAAGACATACGCCATATGTTTTAAAAAATTAAAATATATTTAGATCCTTGGACTGAAACAACATTCATAGGGCCACACAAATCGCTGAAGATCTGATAACTCAAGTTCATCCTTATGTGCCCTATCACGTTAAGCGTGTCTTTAATAAAAACATGTCACGATTTACGCGTTTTAAATAATTATGGGACTATCTATGTCTCGGGGGTTGAATAACATAATATAACACTCTGGGCCTACATAAACTTGGCTTCGTAGCCCTTAACTGTATTCTTCATGTTAGAACTTAACTGCTGAGACAAATCCCAAATTTTTAAATTAAAATCATCAACGATAATAATGTTAAAATTAACGTTCCGGACGTCTGAGGACAAACAGAAGAGACCAATTAAAGTATTGACATAAAAACTGCATCATTTGTGCAAACCAGAAAATATAATAAGTGATTTAAAATATCGTGGCCTTAACAATATTTTTGTGACTCCAAAACTAAAATATAGAACTTAACCATTGAATATGTTCATGCTTACATTCCAACACGACGAAAATGTTGAGAAAATATATGGAATCAGAGAAAATATTAGAGCATATTATGTAGAAATTATACCTCTCAGAAAATCCAAGCTAGTACCTTCATGCAAAAATGTCAAGCATTCGGACACACACAAGGTACTATGCTAAAGAGCCTCGATGCGTAAGATGCACTGTATATTGTTCTCCAAGACATACCGTTTAAAAAAAACAATAGCTAGATTTTCTTAATAGTCAAGAACCTAGATTTATCATTGAAGGCACCTTTAATGCAAAGCACACCCACTGGAGCTTCAAACTAAGAACAGCTAAGGGTAAAAACCTAAAAGAAGCAATGACACAGGTAAAATGTAAGTCGCATTCAACTGGCAAACCAACTCATTTGCCCATAAAAAGAAACAAAATACCCGACCTAATAAACTTTTCTGTTGTACGAAATATTTCAGTAAACTACATCCAAGTTGATGAGGCATGGAACATGAATTCAGACCATTCTCCCATTTTTCTCACTCTTAGTGACACCATTATCCAAAAGAAAAGCGCTTCTAGACTAATAAATAGAACAGACTAGCCCTTGAAAATAAAATCAATCTTTCAGTTCCGTGAAGAACAAAAGCACAGCTAGATGAAGAAGTAGATCTAATTGTGTCCAACATACAACAAGCAGCATGAAATAATACGTCACCTATTTTGCAGCGTACATCAGAAAATAACTATTCTAAATAAATAAGGGATCTCATCTCTGTAAAAAGAAAACAAATGAGGAAAAGCAAGGGACCAGAGCTCCATCTAATAAAACCAAACTAAACAACGCCACCCAGCAGTTAAAAAGAAAGATAACACAAATCAAAAATGACTCTTTTTGTGAACACGTAAGTGAGTTGACAAACGATAAATTCACTGATTATTCTCTGTGAAAAGCCACAAAGCGATTAAAAAGGCCCACTGTGCAGAATGATCCAAACAGGAATACAGATAGTAGCTGGGCTAGAAATAATATACAAAAAGTTAATGGATTCCAGAGTACTTACAAAATACCTTCTAACCAAATGAAGGAGAAAAAATACCAAACTGGGCTCCTTTAGAAAGAAATGACTCAATTATCAGATTAACCTCTCAAAAGGAAATAACAGATGTCGCTAGATTGTGGAAAGTATCTTAGTCATTATAATCCCCAACCCAGGAAAACCTCCGAACGAAGTTTCTTCATATGGGCCAATATCTCCATTGCCTATAATATCGAACTTATTTGAAAAAATACTAATATCCATCATTAAAGAAAGAAAACTTATTCCAGATTACCAGTTCGGCTTTAGAGAAAACCATTCAACTATAAATCAGGTTCGTAGAATTTCAAATGCCATTAAAAACGCATTAGAAAACAAAGATGTTTGTTTAGCCATCTTCCTTGATGTTGCGCAGGCTTTTGATAAAGTATGTCATGATGGCTTAAAACATAAACTGAATGCGCTACTTCCACAGCATACTCAGAGCTACTGAATTCATACATTTTAGAGTAAAACAAGATGAAGCATACTTTGAACTAAAAGAAATTAAAGCAGGAGTACCACAGAGGAGCAACCTGGGACCCACTTTATATCTGTTATACACTGGTGCCATACTCCAACTAGAACAAGACACAATAGTTACATTTGCAGATGTCTCCAGGTGTGGATGGAATATTTCCTGCCCTGTTCAGCAGACATAGGAGGAATTACTACCACACATAATCCGGCAATCCAGGAGCAGTCTGGAGCTGGGATATAAACCAGAAGCATGAAGAAGGGCCAGATTTACCTTTATTCCAAAAGTAGGGAAAAAAGATACCACACATCCTAAATCCTTTCGACCAATCAGCCTCACATCCTTTGTATTAAAAACAATGAAGAAGGCTATTGATAATTATATTAGAACGGAAGTCATGAAGAGGGTGCTACAGCCAACGCGCGTACCGAGCAGGAAAATCTACAGGAACTGCCCTGGTACAGTTGACTGACGTAATCCAGGATGCACTGACAAACAAATAAACGGTCGTGTGTGCCTTCCTAAACATAGAAGGAGCTTTTGACAACACGCCACACGAATTTGTAAAAAAAAACTTACATACAGAGAAGTAGATAACATCACATCCAGATGGATGGCTCAGCTGTTATCTACAAGAACTGCAGAGACACAGATAGTCATATTTGCTAGTGGCAAGTTTAGTAATATCCTGTGTGATATAGTCCAACGAGGACTAGAACATACCAAAAGATGGTGCCGTAAAGTGGAACTTAATACAAACCCTACAAAAACAACACTAGTAGCCTTTTCAAAAAAAAGAAAACTTAATCTTAAACCATTAAATTGGACGAGATAGATATAGAATGGAAAAATGAAGTCAAATATCTAGGCCTAACCCTGGACAACGAACGTCTCTGGAACAGACATGGGCAGGAAGTAGTAAATAAGGCCACAAAAGGCCTAATGGTATGCAGAAACATTGCAGGCAAACGATGGGGATGTAACCCAAACATACTGCGATGGATGTATACTGCAATAGTGAGACCAATCATCACTTACGGAGCTATAGCCTGCAGTAACAGAACTAGTTTAGCTACTACGAGAGCTAATATCTCAAAAGTACAAAGACTAGCCTGTGTTTGCATTACTGGTGCAATGAGAACCTGTCCTACGGCCGCAATGGAGGTAATCCTAAACCCCACCCCTCTACATTTGACAGAGAATGTGGAAAAAAGAACACGATATAGAATGATCAGGATCGGAGTAATCGGACAAAAGTCTACTTGCTTTTGTACTAAAGATACCTAAGACATGCCCCAGGATGAAATGCTGCTTTCTTTTTTTTATGACGTTTGGTTTAATTTATTTTATTTGTTTCATTACAGAATTACAATAGCGAACTTGGTTCCATAGCACAATGTTGCACTAATACTTGCACTTTCAATCACGACAAATGTAGACGAACAGGTAAGAAATAAAAAAGCAATAAAATTGTTATGAGAGAAAATTGAATGTACTGTTAACGTTTTAGCAATTAATACATTTGAATTGTTAAAACTTTTAATATTTTATGATCTAATTTTCGATAATAATAAATAGGTCATGAGTCAATCTATAATAGACAACTTTGTCTTTTTTATCTTTTATATAAGCATTTTTTTAATAAAATACATTTTTCTGTAATTAAAGGTATAAAATATTATTTGTCGATATTTTCATATTCTATTTTTATTAAATATAAAATACTTAATATAAAGGAAATTATTTTTAATATAATTTACACTAACACGTGTTTTATTCTTTTTAGCAAGTTACTCATGGGTGGGACAAAATCTTGGATTAAAATCCTACTCGGGTACATCTGGTGACTATAAAATCGTCATGAATTCAACAATCAGAGCTTGGTATGCAGAAGTAAAAGATTTTGACCCTTCATGGGTATCCAGCTTTAGAAGCTAGTAAGTAGATATAATATGTTTTATAATAAAAAGACTGTCTACATCCATTGTACAACTTTTTTACGTAATTTCTGATACATTTATTTGTTTAAATAAGTCGTTCAAATAAATAACAAAATTATTACAAGAATTTAAGCCTAATAATCTTGGTTGCTACACAACTAGTCTTTTTCGACCGATTCTCCTATTCGGGAAAGTTGTCTCCTGGACTTCATTTTTTCTTGAGTGGCTACTAAGACCATCAAAACTAAATCACTGAGATTTTATCTTTTTTATATTTCCGAGTATTTTCTATAAAAAGTTATTTGTCAGAATAGTCGAGGACTATAGGAAATTTGAAAATGTAAGGTTATGTTTTTTTATTTGGTTTGCTACTAGTATCTAACAATTAAAATAAAATATATATAAAGGGTGGGTCACCGGTGATACCTCGATTGGTAGAGCTAATTACATAATAGAAACCGCTGACCTGTCTAGAAGTTCCGAGAATGTCACCAGCCGGCAATTCAAGTTACTTGTTATCTCTTAACAAGTGTTTCACATTTTTTTTCTTTTACTTCCAGTCTGATGTTAGCTTGCAATTAATAAAGTCATAAAAACATTGTACTTGTTGTTTAAATAAAAATACTTTTTTTTTAAAAAACGATTTTTCAAATCGTAATATATTTTTGGCGCAATCAGTAGGATTGTCACGAAGAATCCGACGTGGATAACTTTCGCTATTTTAATAGTAAAGTGACAATTACAAACTTTCAACGTTTCGCACTAATCTTGAACTTTCCATCGCGAGAAAAGTTTTGTGGTGCTATCAAAGAATTGTACTGGAGACTTCCATGGTTAAGACGACAGTTCACCTTCGATGCAAACGAAAACCGTATTGTAAGTTTTATTTTTATTTTATGTCAGACTCCTCTAACATCAATTCCCTATCCTTCAGTGATCACGTATCCGATTTAGAGCTAGATTTAGTAATTGAAAGTTTTAATTCAATTAATATTAACGATAATAATTATCTAAATAATTTAAATAAAGTAATACATATCTTAAATCAAACAATGACTCCTCCCCCTAACTTTCAAACGGTTCACGCGGAGACCATTCCTGATTTTATGGCGACAAAAACGAGTTGCAATTTTTTCTAGAAAGTATTGATAGCATAGTTAACCATTTTTATGATAACGCAAATATTGGAAACTATCAAAATGATATGATATTTAGAACAATCAAATTACATGGACCCGCTCGCGAAGTAATTAATATTAATAATAATAATATAATACTCTCCCTAATTCACCCCCTTACGAGTGGATGTTAACCCCAAAAGCTAAGCTTGTCCGGGGAAAGGGACGGCTATTATTATTATTATTTGCCGTGGCGATCCGGGGCGACTTAAAGATGATTGATGGTGCCATTGGACTTACAGATGAGGAAAACCCGGAAAACCTCACCCACCATCATCGAGACGATAATGTATGGCGATTTTTTTTATATATATATAATCTGCATGTCATATCAACAGAAATTGAATTTCTATTAATACGGCACACATCAAATCCTATACCGAACCATGCAATTTAATTAAAAATCCACATGGTCTGGTCTGGGATTCGAAGCCCAGCAGTCTCTGACACATAAACTTGCTTATAAATGAATATAAGCGCGTTAGACCGCTACACCATCGACCCGATATTAGTGGGGATACTAAAATTAAAGAAATTAAGGAAGAGTTGATTATGAATTTTAGTGATCCCGCAAATGAAAATTGCTTATCTTTAGATTTAAATAATTTAAGGAAAGCTCCTAACGAGAGCCCTTATGAATTTCACGAAAAGTTCTATTTCAAATTACCTCCGTTTGCATGAACACAATTTAGATATAAGAAAATTCAAACAAAAATCGTATTAGCTCTTTAAGTATTTTTAGCTGGCTGAAAAAACCCTTATGGTATCACGGTTCGTACTAAGGATCCCAAAACACTGCTTGAAGCATTTAATTTTATAAGAAAGGGGGATAATATTAAATATTTACAAAATGCGCATTCAAATCAATCTCAAATGTCAGTAGAAAGCCCTAATAATCAGCATCGACAGAATCACCCTAATAAAAATAATAAAAATTATCGCCCAAACAATAAAAATCAATGTCTTAATAGAAATCCAAATTTTAATAATATCCAACAAACTAATTTTAATCAACCCAGCACACAATCAACTTGTTAACATAACCTAAATCAGTTAAATTTTTAAAATTACTATGGTACTTCCTTGTAATAATTGGCCACCCTACAATAATTTCACCTATCGGATTTATAATAAAGCAAACTTTTTTTTTTCAATGATCTTATAATTTTCATCAAATGTTATTTTTCTGTGTCATAAACGTAGCTATACGTACAATACTTCATTTGACATGCATACTTTAAATTATAAATTTGAATTACTTTTAATAAATTATTTGATTTTGTAAGTATTTATTTATTTCTCTTCACATTATGTACAAAATAAATAAAATACAAAACTCTTTCAATTTAATTACTCGTATTAATCTACGTATTAATTCTACGATTAAATTTTTTTTTTCACTTTCTTATGCTCCATGGTTCCTCCGCACAAACGTCCAAATAATACCTGGTTTGCTACGGTAACGCAAAAGCAAATACACAAGTTTCAAAGCATGTGATATTTTATAACCAAAAACCACTAGAGGTGTTATTAAAAATCCATAATTTTTCTTTGGTTTTATTATCAAAATATTCAAGGATTCAAAAAAAATTTTTTGGAAATAATATAACTTCTAGTGGTAATAAGCTTTAGTTGTAATGTAGATCATTCAACAACTAACCTAATTGCTTGTCCAAAATTTAAACGTAAATAATTAATAAAAGAATCAATGTCAGTAAACAATTTAAATCATCATGATCCCAATATACAAATTCTAAAAAATTCTTATGCTAACGTAGCTGCCAAAAATACAAATTCACCTAACAACTATGCAAATACTCACTTCTTACCTCAACTCCCTTTACGCAAATAATAACTCTTCTCAATTAGACTTTCCAGTACTCCATCCTACTGTTCGACGTCAACAACAATATCAATATACTAACCAGTATGCACGACAAACAAATAAGGGAGCACTGACCATAAATAACTTACCAAAAACTAACAAAAGGCAGAGGATAAATAGCCCAGACCTTGTAACAATTGAACATCGCGAACTAAGCTCTCATCCTGGAGTTCCAGGCCCAAAAGGGGCAATATTTTATAATTCAACATACAGTAAAAATTTAAACACATCAAATATACACTTACACCAAAAATACACAACCAAAAGGCTTTAATGTCGTTGAAACAGTATTAGAATTAGTTACAGTCATAATAAATACGCTTAGAGAAACAAATAATTTTAATGTAGTCAAATTAAATAACGAAAAAAAGCCCATTCGAGCTTACATTAATTTGTAATTGGATGAAACAAAGTGGAACTTATGTATTTTGATGTGATCTTTCCGAAAAAAAGCAAAAAAAGATGTAGCTGTTTTTCAATTTTTTTTAAATTAGGAAAAACCGGGTTTTCCGGAATTTTCCATGGTAAAAATGCTAATTATCTAGGCAAGTATCATTCCAATAGTAAAAATAAATGCACCATTCGAAAGAGGAGGCAAAAATAGTTCGGGAATTCATTGCACAATTAATTTTAATGGCGAATTTCTCGCCGCTAGAAGTGCTTTTACCAAAAAGTTGTTTTTTCGTTTCTTTGATCAGAACCATGGACATGAAATTTGCGATGAATTTGTGGCGAAATTATAAATGTTAGACATAACTTTTAGGTTCGCTATTAAAAATAGGTTTTTTAAAAAATATCAAAAACTTTACAAAAAGCGGAACTTTATTTTAGGTCTTAATGATACAAAAGTTAAAATGTAAAAGCTAATAAATGGCAACGAACTAGTTTTGTTGCCGCTAGATCTTGGTGGGGCCTTATCTTGGACTTGCCGCGTCTGCATAATTCTACTTGTATTCCCTATGATTGTGTTATCATAACTCTTCCACCCTTAGAGGAGAATCCGGGGGCTGGCCTCTGGATTTTCTTCCTTGGAGCTCCTCTTCGATGAATTCTTCCTATATTTTCTATATGAATAAATGCAAAATAACAAACAAAATGCTATAAAAATATAAATCAATATAGTCCAAACACTAATATTGTTAAAATGGATTGGATTATCAAAAATATGTTTTACTTTTTGTTTTTGAAAATTTAGAGAGTCTTTTAGAGCGGTTAATTGTTCCAAATCAATACTGTTCAATTTAATGGGTTTTAGGTAAATAGGATTTTTATCATCAAAGTTTTTAATATTAACTTTAGGAAGTTCTATTATTCTAAATTCACTTTTTGGCAGTTCGTTACTACGTAGAACTATTTTACCTACTCTAACACTACATTTATTGATTAATTCTAACAAAAATGTTCCTTCTAATGGGACATTGTCACTATCTTGTTCGCAGATTCTTTGGGCGTAAATATTTTGATATCAAATTGATATTTGATTTGTGACTTCTTGAATATAGACACTTTCAAAAGTTTGTTTATTTTGGATTTGAGCGGTTTCTAAAATGTGTTCTATTTTGTTTATTTGAGATTTTAATTTTAGTTGATTGTGAGCTAAGACTTGACTACTTTTATTAAATATGTCTAAAGAATTTTTAACTAAGGTAATTTGTTCATTAATTAAAGATTTCATCTTATTTTGATTTTTCGAAAGATTTTCTATGGCTTTGTCATATTTTTCTGCGTCGTTTTAATCTAAATTTCCAGATATTGATTTAATTATTTTACCTAAACCATTAAGAAGTCCACGTTTTTCTCTATGGGTTTGTTCAAGTGATGGGTTTAATTGATTAATTTGGGTAATAATTTTATTTTCTAATATGGTTACTATTTGAAATGTAACAAAGATGTCCTCAGAATCTGACTTGGTCTGGTTTATAAGTTTATTTTTT